AGCAATGAGTAAAACCTTGTTACAGTGTTATTCTGGCTTATAGGTTGGTCTGCTAACTATGCCCACCTGGTGTCTGCTGTCATTGGGTGAATGACTGACTTCCCTCATGGCTGCAGACGTAGACAGTGCAACGCTGCTACACACGATTAACACACACACACGAACAAGCTGTCTACCGAACCGACAGGCTACAACTCTATGTATACAAAGAGGAACAGACACACACACACACACACACACACACACACACACACACACACACACAGACAGACACTCACATCATGCAGCCAAGCAGAATTCAGTAGAGACTTGCAGTATCAGTACCTCCATTAATATACTGACGCCTGTTATATGTAACCTCACATCTGTTATATTGTTGACAGCAGCACAGCTAGTCTGTCTGCTGAGTGCCAAGTTTTCACTTAGAGAAACCTGTAGCTTATATAAAAGTAGTGCAGGTGTGTGCATGAAACATTTTTTACCTGCTGTGGCTCAGAGAACCTTCAATAAGAACCACTGGAGCAAAGGTTTGTCACTTTACCACATTTTCAGCATTATATTGTATTGTTAAGGACAGACCACAAGCTCCCACATACACTGACTTTCACAGGCACATACCAGATGTAAACCAATCCTTAAAGATCATTCCTCTCTTCAAAGATGAAAAGCGACATGAAGAGAGAAAGGTACTGAGGCATATAGTTTTTCTAGCTATGAGGTATCCCTCATCGGCCCGGAGACCAGCTACGCCAGCTGCCCTTCCATGCTGTTTCAGGGCATTTGTACAATCACACAGTCTTCGCTGCAGGTATAGCTGGTGAAAGCACCATCACAGAAAATCTCCTCTATGGAGATTAGCCACATTAGGCCAGAGGTCCCACTGGGATCCATTAGAAGCCATCATTTATTCTGTTGCTACACAAACTGTGCCATTACAAACTGATTGGACACAGGTAATAAATACCATAAAGACCAGTCACCATGGACAAACTGCACTGAACTGTGGTTTGCACAGTTACTGACTTAGCTTAGATTCAAATAAACTATAGAGTATTTTATGTAGCTCACTATGCATTCACATAGTGAAAACATTATGTTTTTAAATATAGTTAGGCATAGTGCATCTGTAAAAACAAAGTTTGTGCATCTGTACATATTGGCACATTAGAACAAGTTTTACAGGCACTATGAATAAAAGCCTGTAGTTCAAATGCCTATCAAACGATATTTCCAGTGCTTCCTTTTCATATAAGTGACAACTTCCGGCTGGACCCTGTGTGATTCATATATAAGGGGCTAAATGGACAACACAGGATTCTTATCTGAAAGTGTTTCACTGTGGCATGATGCTGGCGGTCTGATAGGCCCACTTCAGAGACAATGACTTCTAGCATTTGTACAAGGAAGAACGCTGGATAGCAGTCAAGTGGGACATACCCACCTGCATCATTAACATCAGCCTGTGCTACAGAGTGTAATGTAATAGGATGCATTAGGTCACTCAGTTTAAATGGTACTCTGTCCAAAACTCTACTTTTGACTATCAGATTGTGTTGATGGCGGTGCAGTGAAAGTGGAACGTCCGCAGCAGAACAGGAGTCTTCAAGTGTTGTCTGTGAAGGTGTCACAGTACAGCTGTACACTCGGAAGCTTCTCAACACTACATGAATGAAAACAACTTGCTGCGATTAGAAGCCAATGTAACTGGAATGAACACGAGGACAATATTCAATATTCAACACAGGGGTAGCACAGAATATCATTTTGCACTTTAAAATCCTTCCGGTGCAGTAATTCCTGTCTTTAATAGGCTAAAGATGAAGTTAATTCTAGAAGATGATTGCATAGATCACATCCACATCTGCTGCTTTACATTAACTTTGCAAAAGAGATTTGATTTAGGAACCCAATGTTTAATTCCATCAAGGTTTGAAGAAAAGTAGAGCATGTACCATCAGACTGTTGTGCCTATAAATATTTCAGGTTTACAGACAGGTCGACCAGTCTAATCTGCACCTCTCAGCAGAGTAGGGAACGCCCCTTCAAATTAAATGTCGGACTCTCATGGCCTTGGGCTGTAGCAGTCAGACAGAAATGAGCTGGAAAAGTAAAGGCGCTTCACCTCTGACTCAATATTCATTAGCCAGAGGAACTAAATTCTTCTAGGTTCCCATCAGCAAAATGAAGCAAGCTTTGTCCCTCAGTCCCCAGATCAGCATTCTCACTCCTGTCTTGTCTCAACCTGAAACCTGGCAGGTTGTGACTGTGCAGAGAAGGGTAATACATTCCAGGCATACCATGGGGTCAGGGGACTGGAAGAGCCAATAAGGTGGCCAGCTGACTGCTCTGGTCCTCCTCCCTGCTACAACTCAGAACTAAAAAAAAAGCAGCTCTCAGGGGAAAAAAATATCTGCCGGACCTTAAACGGGTGATTTCAAAGAGAAGAGGGTGTGGGGGCGGGTGGGAGCGGCGGAGAGGTGAATACAAATTGGCTTTAGGTAGCTTCTAGACCTATCAGGTGCAGCCCTTCCCCAACAAGAAGCAATGCTGGTCTACTAATTAATCATGCAACTCCCTCATTTCAAAGTGTATTTTTAAATGTCTTCAGCTGAGCAAAGCTACACTGCTGGATTTAAACTAATCAGACAACAGCCTATATCTTAGGAGGTTAGAGAAAACTGCACTGCATTCACCTTACTCCAGAACAGTGAGAGGAGCCCCTATGTCTTGACTTGTACAAAGAATGGCCACTCTAAACACTGTACATGTCACAACTGGTTTATATTCCTGGTTCATGGATTTTTCAAATGTTCATACTCTAGCTCAATCCATTAATGAGAAAACATGTAACAAACGGCTCTGAACAAAAGAAAGCAGACAACACAGAGGAAACACACAGGACTGTAGATCCAATCCAGCTAAAACATGGACACACCATCAGCACATTGTTATCTTTACAGAATCACAGAGTACGTACACAACTACTGTAGTGTAGGATGGATTATATACAGACACTGTATATAATAATAATGTCAAACTAGCACAGAAGACAAGATGACACAGAATCTCTCTGTCCAAAAGTATAATGTGTTGTAATTCATGAGATTTAAAATGTGCAGCATAGGTGGTTTGAGCTACCACTGAGCAAATCCCAGCCCTGTCTTTATGCCAAGCTAAGCAAAACCAACCAGCTGCTGGCTGATTTTCTCATCTAGCCCTCGTCAAGAAAGAGATGAAATCTATTTCCCAAAACATCAAACTTCTCTTTTAATTATTCCAGAGACCTGTGCAGTATTTACTTCTGTAATGAATTCTTCTTAGAAAAGAAAAAAGAGCATACTCTAACTTGGAACTGACTGAGATCTCCACCTCATCATATTCCTCCTGAATTTACAGACATTATCATTTTTAAATATCTTGAACAGTGACATCGTTTGGACATCACTGAACATATACAGTATATTTTTTATAGCTAGCAGCAGACTGGTGAGACACTTTAGGCCTCATTGTCCCTATAGGCTCCCAGTCTCATTACCATGGCCATGTGGCCCCTTCTTGGGTTGCAGTCTGTGGACAGTGACTCCACCCCTCTGGGGACAGGGTCAAGATGGCACACTGATCACGTGTCAGCAGGACGCTGTTATCCATTGTGCGAACTGGGGAAATCTCTTTACTGCACATCAGTCCGCCAGCTTGCAGAATTTAGGTTGATAAACACTACATTCAGACGCACTTCACTGGTCACAACACGCACAGGATGTGGGCTCTGATTTGCAATTTTCTTCCTTTACTCTTCAAAGCGGAAAGAAGACAGATAACAGCGAGTTATGAACACGCTATGTGATCAAGGATGCGGAAGGATGAGGGGGGCCACTGTAATTGGCTGAGAGAAATCCTACATTAAACAATGACACACTTTGGAGATCTTTCATTAAAGAAGCTGTACAGGAAAGATGTGTCGCATGTTCTTATGCTTGAATAACCACTCTTAGCACAAAAACATTTACTTTTATGTAATTCTCCCCAAACACTCTTTACTCCACATGAGCCTCCATGTCTTGTAATAACAACATGCAAATGTTACAGGCCAGTGAACGCCTCTATTGTGAAATATAAACGCACTGTCTTAACTGAATATAATAGCCTGAGGATAGGTGCAAAGAAAGCCGAGCTTAAAGTCCTACATGCACAGAAAGGACAAATAGGAGGTTCATTTTCGATATGCTGTGATAACTAAGACACTTGCACTTGTGCACTGAGATCATTTTAGTAGACCATAGGTCAGACAAGCTCCAAGACTAGGCTACAGGTCGCCTGTCCAGCTGTTTCACCCGCAGCTCTCGTCAAAGAGGTGCGCAACAGGAATTATGAAATATCTTATTCAGACAAGTATGCATAACAATCACACAGTAAGTGTGGGTCAAGGTTGGGGGTGACTGCTGAGGAAACTTTAGGACTAATTAGTTTTAGACTGCCCCCCCAACAGAAAACGAATAATTCAAACGGAGAAGTTGACTGTAAAAACCCGCCAGTACGCACGTTGACAAAAACGCACGACATACACGTACTGATGATCCAGGTAACGACTTCCGCGCGTCAAATTACTTTCACTGAATCCTCTACACTTACGACAAAGGCAAAAAGGGGTCATAACTATTGGATATATTTTTGACAAACTAAAAATTGTTTAAACAAAGGCCGAAATAAATCTGCAGAGATTTAACCCGTTGAGAGGAACTTCGTTAAGAAAACCTCTGGACGCATTTAACAGTTGCATTCACAAAACGTTTTAACACGCAACAGCCTCCAAAGCTTCATCTCGGGTTTTGCGCAGAGAGCGTGCACAATAAGCTTCTCCGTGGCGGCTAAAACTCTTGTTTTTCGTTGCGCACATTGAATCAAAGCAGGTGCGTAGACTATAACTTGTCTGACTGCGGACATTATTTTAACCTTTGAGAAAGACATGGAAATGTCTCTGACGTGCACAGTTGACAACTTACAGGTATTTTCTGGAGCCTTTCGTCTGTTGATGCAGGGCTACTGAGAATCCAAAGAAGCTCCCACTGGTTTTTCCCTCTTTGATCACAGGAAACCGTTCATCGATATTAAATCCACTGCAACTTTGCGTCCCGTGGTACACAGCCAAAACAGCGCAGAGTATTAGTCTAGGAAACATATTTAGGCTGTTCGTCTTTCCCAGGCGCAGAAGGTTACCGCAGATCCACGATCACCGTGGGTCCAACACGGCAGTCTCCCACAGTGAGCTTCAACAGGTAGGCTGCTACTTCACAGAGACCTCCGCATCGAGAGCCGCCCGTTCCCTCCGCGCACTCAGAGCGTTGCTGCGTCCCTCTCCCCGCTGCGCTCTCTCGCTCTCCCTTCCTGTCTCTCTGCTATCCACACCCGATTGCAACAAGTGCACAGTGTATGAAACCTTCGTCTCTCACCTTTTCCACTTCCTGCCTGTTTCTGTCTCACACACGCACACGCGCGCGCAGTGCTTTATATAGCACAAGAAAGCAAGTTAGAAAACAAGAAAACCTATTGCCTAAACAAAATATTTAAAACTATTATCATGATGTGACGTTTTGTTGACGGATTCGAGGCATTACTGTGATGAGAAACGTGCACTGGCTGTTCTTCAGTCAACATACCACACGAAGTTGTTGTCCTATGAGGTTTCTATTTGTCCTGATTTTCATCGAGTGTGTTGCAGGTATTATGCCACCTGCCATGTCAGAAAATACTTTCCTTCCCTTTCGTTTTTAATCCAGTTTTCCTTATTTGTTAACGAATAATGGAAATTTGGAAGAAGGTTTCAAGAAAGGTCCCAAGTTTTTAAATGTAATTATTTGTAATTATTATTCATGTATAGATCCTATTATTTTGTGTAGGATTATTAGAGTCAGGCCTCCTGAAGAAAACTCGTCCAGTCTAGCAGACCCATGGCCTGCCCTCACATGAGTGGCTTTTGTCAGCGCCCCTCCTCCTCTTTC